GACTTCGAGCTCAAGCCTGTCAAAGGGAAGTACAACGTAGTCGCGGATGCTCTGAGTAGGAGAGCAGATTACTTTGGGGCAATAGTACATTATCTCGATATAGGAAAGGATCTGCAGCAGAAGGTTAGAGAAGCCTACGCGCAGGACCCTATCTATAGTGAGCTCCTCACGCGAGTCAAGGAGGCCCCAGAGACCGAGCCGAACTACCGCACTACTGGAGGGTTACTCTTCGAGAAGACTAATGTCTTTGACCGGTTGTGCATCCCCAATAACGAAGAGATTCGTAGTCTGATTTTGGGTGAGTGCCATGACACAGAGGGTCATTTTGGTTGGCAAAAAACTTTAGCCAATCTAATGCGCGCGTATACCTGACCAGGAATGAAGAATGACTGCATAGAGTATGTTCGCACTCGCAAAGTCTGCCAGCGTAACAAGAGTTCTACACGCGCCCCGCTAGGTCTTCTCAGACCCTTGCCCATTCCGGATCAGCCGGGCGACTCAGTGTCCATAGACTTTATGGACACTCAAGTCAAGAGTAGGCATGGCAAGAGCCAAGTCATGCTCATAGTTGACCGTTTTAGTAAGTACGCAGTTTTTGTTCCTTTGCCTTCCGAGGTGCATAGTGATTTAGTCATACAGAGGTTTTTTGACAGTTGGGTTAGTGAGAATGGAATCCTGCTGTCGATAGTTAGCGATAGAGATAGTCGCTTCACCAGCCAGAATTGGCAAGAACTCATGGGAGTATATGGATCTAAGTTGTTGATGTTGTCCGGCCGTCATCCAGAGACTAACGGTCAGACCGAGCAGATGAACAAGATCCTACAGCAAGTTCTGCGCATGTACATTAGACCAGACCAGATTAATTGGGATGAGATGTTGCCCAAAGTAGCTAGTGCGTACAATAACAGCGTGCATCTGTCTACGTGTCGCACTCCCAACGAACTGCACAAGTCCTTTAGACCGCGCAGACCGTTTGAGGGACTCAACCGGGATCAGATTCACAGATTACCACCAGGGACCAGGGAGGTTGCTGTGCAGCACGAGAAAGAACTAACTACTGTCGTAGAGAACCTCAGAAAAGCCCAACATAGGATGATAGAGCAAGCGAACAAACATCGTCGCCCTTCGCAGTTTCAAGTAGGCGACTTAGTCTGGGTTAGTTCTAAAGAGTTTGCGCCGGAGGAGAACATCTCGCAGAAGTTACTGCCCACATATAGAGGACCGTGGCCTGTTCTGGAAGTCAAGGGCGGCGAAGATGGACAGTCCTACACAATAGAACTACCAGCACACCTCCACACGTATCCAGTTTTCCACGCATCGAAGTTGCTACCTTGTCAAACAAGTGATCAGTTTCCATCCCGTAGATCGATGATCCCACCTGATATCACATTGATGGTATAGTGGCTGAAGATGTCTTCAGAACTGGAGGTAGGGGTCGTCCGCAGAAACAATACAAGGTTCATTTTAGTTATCAGGAACGGNCAGAAACAATACAAGGTTCATTTTAGTTATCAGGAACCGGAAGACGACCGCTGGTTTACAACATCTGAACTTCTAGAGACAGCTCCCGATATAATCCGGGCTTACAAAAGACAGCAGAAAGGTAAAGGTCCTGCCTTGGACTGAAATTTTCTCGGAGGACCTTAAATTTAGGCCGGCGGGAGTGAAACGGTATTCACCAGTTCGCGGTAGCGAATGCAGATCCCAGGGCTCGATCCCTAGATCCCCGTCTTACCTGTGTACAGTATCAGTGTCAACCCGTAGACTTGAACCTGCGACCTGTAGGAACGCCAGTGGTAGGCAATTTGTCGTTGGTCACAGGGTAGAAGGGAATCGAACTGTAGACCTATAAATTAGGAGTCTAGACAGTTCCGAAGTGGTAGCTGTAGGCTGCTTGAGGAGTGAACGTCGTAGCTGCTACTTACCTGAAAGGGCAAAGTCGTAGCTGCCACAGGACCGAAGGGCCAACGTAGAGGTTTCTAGAACTGGCCTTTCGGAGTTGGCCTGTGTTCAGCAGAGGCAAGTGGTCAAGTGGTGGTAGTCCACCTAGCCCAGTCAGCAGTCCCAGGTAGCCCAGTCCGGTCCAGTCAAGCAAGTACCGTCTGGGACTGTGCACATCGTGGGCCAAGGGATACAGGGCAGACCAACGCAGCGCAGAAGTATAAATCAAGAGGCTGCGTCCAGCCATTCATTCATTCCTGCAGATGCCATGCGGAAGCGCTGCCTCAGCGGCTTGTGCGAGGAGGTCTGCAGTGTGCCCGAAGACGAAGTGGGCAGAGAAGTGTAGTGTAGCGATAGGGTAGTAGCAGCTAGCTGCCATAGCCATAGCCTAGTGTGTGTGTGTTGTGTGTGAACACTGAGTGTTGTGTGTGGGACATCCAGGGTGATCCAGAGTGCGAACAGTGAGTTGTGTGGGCGCTCAGTCGCCATCTTCGAGTACTGTGTGGGCACATGTTGCCAGTTTGCTGTTTCTCTGTTTGCGTGCATGATAAGTGTGAAGAAGTCAAGTCTGATTACATTATTTCATTTCGATTTTTTTTAATCTTTCTGCTCACTTACCTGCAGTCCGAAGTACGAAAATCTTTCCTTCTTGGATTACTTCGACTTCGGGGGCTGGGGATATCGGGGGAACCTTCGAACTTGCTATTTCGAAAATTAGTCTTTTTTTTCTTTTCAGCGAAGTTCTGAAAGGCCTTCCACGATTCAGACCCCAACTTCGAGTTCAGGGTCAGAGGGCAGGGCCAAGAATGGTCAAGTCGGTCAGTTTCAGAAAAGACACAATCGGGTACCTGTAGCAGTCAAGTCGAATAGGCACCCGACAAACAGTCTCACAATGAGAAGTCGTTTTGGAAAGTCACATCCCATGAGCAAAGGACACTTTCACAGGCCAGAGTCGTGTCCCAGAGGCAGGAGTCACAGTCCACAGTGTTGCATACTCATGAAACACAGTCATAAGTATGGCGCAGATTCCCAGAACCGACTAGATAATACAGAGTTGATACAAATGCAACCGGAAGACACATACATCCGGGGTGTGAAAGCCCTGGCCTTGGACATAGGCGAAGGCCAGGGTCTGAGATCATCCACGGACGAAGGGAGAGGGGAGAGAGACGAAGGGAGGAGGAGAGGGAAGATGACGTCAACTCAATGTTTCCAAAGAGGGTATCTTGAAATGTCCGAGGTAGCGAAAATCCGAAATGTCGCGCACACAGTGTCTCACAATGTCTCAGATATCGATCTCACAATGTCAAGTACATCTTCAGACGAAGATGAAATCAGATCCCACAAGTAGTCCTCAACCTGTAGTCCCAATGTCGCTGTCTCCAATGTCATCAGAACTCGTAACCATCCTTCATACTCATAGTAGTCCCGTAGGATAACCCAGGAGTAGATTTAGACTGAGAAGGTAGGAGGAGAGAGAGAGAGAGAGAGAGAGAGAGAGA